GAACCAATTAGATACTTCCATCCAAAACAAAACAAAACAGATAAGAGTTGTACTGTTTTCACAACAGACATAGGGGAATAATCCTCATTATTGTGAAACTTTCTGCCCAGGACTGTGGTTGTCTATCTAGTTCCCCTGTCTAATTTATGTGTTTTGGCGCTGTTTTAGGGAATTTCATATCACATAGACTTTACACATCTCTTGTTCATAGTACCTTTGATCTGTTAGTGCAATGAGGTCTTCTAATGTGATTTCTAATATGTGGTTATATATAGCGTATTTATTTTTGCATATTCATTTTTGTGGCTCATTCAATAAACTCTTTCAATATTTTGACAGTATTCCAATTGTATTTATTTATCAAATGCATGTAAGCTTTATGTTCATTAATCTTTTGTATTATTTTACTTTTTTCTTTATGTAACTTTTAACAGGTTACATAAATGCTTGATTAATTTTTCTGGTTTGGGTTTTATTAATATAGTAACTTAGGTCTATTTATTATCTCCTAAGAATTGCTTTATGTTTATTTTGTTAAATTTAATACTATCTGTTTTTATTATAAAGGTTTCTAGAAACTCTACAGTAATTTTTTGTGTTTCCTTTTTGATCCATAAACTTTCCAGTAAAAGGATCTTTTTATGTCTGATCTTGTCAATAATAATACCTTTACTGAGTTGTGATCAAGGATAATTATTTGTAAATTATATTATTATCTTCTTTGGTATTAATGGAAAAAACGTTTCCCCAAATAAAACCATTTAAAAGTGTTGTTTGGGCACATAAAATACATTATTTATTTTTAGAGTTTAATAAAATTGTATAATGTTTTTTGTATTTTCTATACCTGAGCTGTTATGAACTGAAGAAGATGGATTAAATTCAGCAACTGCAATGTGTTTTTATTTCTGTCATTTGTAACTTCTGTTTTATAACTGCATTTCCCCCTTGTTAGTAACACATTTATGTTCACAAGATGCAATTTAATTCAGTATGTCTATTTTATTTATAACTTACATGGTTACATTCATTTGAGCTGCTGCTTCTGTCCCCTTCCTTCTCCTTCTCTTTCCTTCTTTTTTTTCTTCCCTTTTAAAATAATTTTTGAGAGAAGGTTTTGATGTGTCTCTCAAGCTAGCCCTAACCTCCTTATATAGCTGGCCTCAAACTCTTTATGTAACCTAGGGTGGCCTCAGTTTGGAAATTCCCTGCCTTTGTCTCCTGAGTGCTGGAATTAACAGCCATAAAAATCCCATCTACCTTATCCACACCTATTTTTGTTTGTTTGTTTATTGTTTACTGTTTTTCGAGACAGGGTCTCTTTATGTAGCTCTCACTGTCCTGTCCTGGAACATATGTGAGAGGCTGACCTTGAACTCAAAGAACCTCCTGCCTCTGCCTCCCAAATATTGGACTTGAAGGCTTGTGCCACCTCACTCTGCCACCCTTCGCTTTCTGATATGTTCATCTTTTTGTATTTAATATCGAATTTCTCCTTCCATTATCCCTTATAGATGACTGAAAGGTTTTCTTTCATTTTTATGGTAAATATGTGGTCAGAATTATCAATGTACTGCCTATTCTATTTGTTCTTTGTTGTACTTTTAATCTCTTCTGTCTATGTATTTTAATATTTAAGATTTTCATTATCTCAATAATATAACATATACTAGATTTAATTCTCTATATGTATGCAGTATCTATTGGTGCTATAAAAGAATTAATAAAATGTTCCTACTCTGTTTCTGATTTCAGTTTTTGTTTATAAAACTCATATTATTCCAGAATATTTATATTTTGAAATATATGCCTGTGTTACTGGCTAATAACTTTTAAAACAACTTGTTGATTCCCATTATTATGTATGAGCAACCAATGGACTTTCCCTTCCCTCCTCGTTCTACCTTTGTGTGGTGCAATCTTTCTACATCATCTAAGCAGGTAGCTTTCACATTTGTCAGTGTCTGAGTCAGCTGTTTGCTGCTAAAGCAAAATACCACAGGTGGGTAATCTGAAGGGCAGAGGTCGCGTCTTCACCAGCTCTGAAGGGCAGCAAGTGTTGAGAGGCAATGCTGCTGAAATCATCTTTCATAAGGGATTCACTCCAACACCAACATTAATCACAAGGGCTCTCATAGGTTAAACAAGCATTTCAGGTCCCACCTCTTAATATTGTTGCCATGGCAGTTAAGGTTTTTATTTTATTATTTTTTAATTTTTTACAATTTATTCACTTTATAACCAGTTGTAGCTTCCTCCCTTGTCTCGTCCTGGTCCCTTCCTCACTCTTCCTCTTCCCCATCCCCATTCCCTAGTCCACTGAAAGAGGGAGTCTTCCCCGCTTGTTGCCTTCTGCCCCTACCTATCAAGTCTTAATCAGGACTGTCTGGATCCTCTTCCTCTGTGGCCCGGAAAGGCCGCATCACCAGGCAGAAGTGTTCAAAGAGCAGGCAACTGAGTTCATGACAGAGGCAGCCCCTGCTTCCCTTACTTGGGAACCCACATGGAGATTGAGCTTCCTATGGGCTACATCTGAGTAGGGGGTCTAGGTCCTCTCTATGCATGGTCCTTGGTTGGTGCATCAGTCTCTGCAGGCCTCACTGGGCCCAGATTCTTTGGCTTTGTTATTCTCCTTGTGGGGCTCCTGTCCCCTCCAGGTCCTTCTATTCCTCTCTTTTTCCATAAGACTTCCTGTGCTCTGCCCAAAGTTTGCCTGTGAATCTCTGCATCTGCTTTCATACCCTGTTGGTTGGAGCCTTTCAGAGGACATCTATGGTAGGCTCCTGTCCTCTTCCCTCTCTTCCACTGCTTCTGGTATCTATCCTTTTTGCCATTCTGAATGAAAATTAAGCATCCTCCCTAAGGTACTTTTTGTTGTTTAGCTTCTTTAGGTCTGCAGATTGTAGTATGGTTATCTATATTATATGGCTAATACTCACTTATAAGTTAAGTTTCAACATGATTTAGGAAAGGGTAATCCAGCCGTGGTTGTCTGTCAGTTCAATCTTCACATGTTTCAAAAGGCTTATTTCTGTAATAAAACACATCACATCTCTCCAATAGTCCTTTGGGCGTTGTCTCAAATAGGTTTTGGTAAATCGAAGCACCCGTAATAGCGAGTTTCTTTCGTTATGAACAATATTCACAGAGGTCCTGAATTTTCAAAATCATTTGAAATTCTCAATCTTAATTTGACTGGCTGGTAATTTCTTACGTTCCAGTTTCTTTACACGAGTCGTTCTGAGATCTCTATCTTTTGGGGGAGGGGATGTGGGGGAGATTGAATATAGAATTTTGAATTTTTGCCTGCTTGTTTATAGGATTCTTCTCTTTGTCTTTAAAATTGAGAATCACTATTTTTAATGTCAGTTTTGACAATTATAGGTCACTGTGGTTGGATTCAAGCTGCCTCTCCCCGGCTTTTATTGTAAGTTCTAACTAGAAAAAAAAAATGTTGTAATGTTTGTGTACAGTGTTCAGCTTTCCACAAGGAATTTTTGTTGAATGTTGATACACCGATAAAAATTAGTTAAAACACATTTTGATTTCATTTTTGTCTATTTTTTTATCTGCCTCTTTTGAAAGATAGGCTTTAAAGCTTTGCATGCTGAAAAGTTTACTGCTTTAGTGCACAGCTCCATTGATTTGGATAAATACAAAACCATTATGACTAAACAGACTAGTCATCACCAGAATCCTGACAGCTTCGTCACCTCCCCAAATTACCCCAGACTTGTCCTTTGTGGAGCTGTTTATTGATGCCTCACCAGATCGTCCTCGCTTACGTATTAATCATCATTAAATGGACAGATTTTTGTAGACCTGCTATTGGCACGACATTTCTGCTGGTTGGCAGGGTGGAGATGCTGCCTGGCCTTCCACTCCCCTTACGGTTTCCCCAGTGTTTCCTGCTGGAATGATTCCTCGGTGTCATCCTGCGTGCTAGCATGCCGTCATCCACAGTGTGTCCCAGCAGGCTCCTCTGCCAGCATCTCTCTCGGCTATAGCACAGGGGAGTGTGCTGTGTTGGAGCTGAGCCCATTACCTTTAGGAAGTGTGTAGATGGCCATTTGCAAAGGTTTACTGCTGCTGGGCAGTACTTGAGCACTTGTGTCTTGTGTGGTATATACTAGCTACAGCTTTGGTGGGTGACTTTTACATACACAATTCTGTGAGAAATGTGGCTTTTCATTTTTCTAAAGCCCGAGATTGTAGTGTAGGATTTGGTATCTCCAGGAGGGAGAGATGAGAAATTGAATCTCTCAAAGTCACTCTTCCAGGCAGTCCCTCCCCAGGCTTCTTCTTCTCAGCTTATTTGTCTCATTCTTCTCTCCTGGCCCATGTTTATACCTAGAGATGGCACAGCTGTGACCCTTCTTCATTAACCTGTAATGCACTCAAGTTTTCATACAAAAGCTTCCTGCTCTAGTCTAATCCTCTTTACTTTTCCTAAACACAGCCCCCAAGCTAATCTGCTTTGTCCTCCTTTACAGTTTTGCTTGAACTGTCATTTTCTTCTTTTCCAAAATTGTTATACTCATTCTTGGAAACATTAACAGATGCTTTGCCTCCCTTAGAAGCCCTTTCCTGACATCGTCTTTTTGGTAGAATTAATCTCTCCCCTATTTTTTGTAATACATTATCCATTTGTAGAACATTTATTTGTTGCTTTATGTACTTATTCCCCTGTCATTAATACACAAGGGTACAACTCTAATACTGATTTATAACCAGTCAATAGAAGGTTTAATAGAATAACTGTCCAAGGCCTGGCAGCTCTTACCCTCATTTAGCCTCATTTGATTTTCCATGTATCCAACTAAAAGGTAGATTTTTTTTAAATTTTGGTTTATCTAGAGGTTTTTCTTTTTAACATGATTTAATCATATCAAAGCAACTCTCCTACTCATGAGCAGCAACCAAAACTACCATAGCTTTAGAACCTGTGTAAAATTCTGGAAAGCGTGATGGCCATTAATGGAGACTGTTCTGCATTGCAGGTGACGCAACTGTGACAATAGCTCACAGGTACACTCCCAGAGAACAACTGAAGGTCCACACTCAGCTGGCGGATATTATCATAGTGGCTGCAGGTGAGTCCGTAATGACTGTTATTCGCTGGAACGACACGGTAGAGTCATTCCCGCCCTCATTTCTGAGGCCCTGGGAGAACGCATCGGAGGCACATCTAGGTAAATGCGTGTCGAACCTCTGTGGACCGAGTTTTGGCTCGGTGTGCTCATCACGCCGGTCTAGCGTCCCTCGGTTAGCACCTGTCTCAGCATATGTGAAACAAAGATGAGCTTTGCGGTGATGGCTGGTGCACGGGCACAGTTTTGCAGTTGTGCTGACAGGCATGACTGAGCAGCATGTCAGAAAGGCATCCACGCCAGGTGGTAATACCTCGTGGTGCAGGGAGGGTGGGATGAAAGTGACTGTGATCTTTAAAACTGTGAAAATTGGTGAAAATACGATGTCTAGGTGAGGGAGAGAGATCATCACCATGTGACTGGGGCCACACCCATGCTTGAAGCATAGGTTTTGGAGTCAACTAGAGCATGTCCCAGTGGGAGCTTCTGGCATGAGAGTGGCATGTCCCCAAAGCATGGTGCAACAATATGAGGCGCTCTGATTTGTATGAAAGAAGGCATATATAATATTATAATAAATATAATATAATATAATAAATATAATAATATACAAATTAAAGAAAATGGAAAAAGAAGAACCAACCATAACTTGATCATAAACAGAGCTACTTGAAGCCACTTAAAGCTGGTGAGCCCTCTGTCACTGAAATCATTAGGAAGAAAAGTGAAAAAAAAAGTACTGCAGAGGAATCTTTGCTAATCTTAAGAATTAATTCTTTCTGTATTTTGAATGACATAAATACTTCATATCCATTTTATTTAACTTTGTTAAAATGTTTTAACAAATCAAGTGTCGTGCTGAATAAGCACAAGGGAGCAGAAGTGTTTTCAACACATTGTCCATAGCATGTGTTACATTCCCTCCGTACATCCACCTTTTAGACATTGTAACGAATGTCTGTGCACCCAGTGCAGTGCGCAGAACTGTGCTCACTCAACACCAGCATCTCCTCCAGTTTTTAGATTAGGTCATTTTGTATTTGAATAAAGAAAGGTATGTAAAAATCCATGAATATGTATATGTTTGTTATAACATATTCAAATTTACCTGGTTTAATCAACAGGGTAAATAAGGTAATTTCAATATTTTAGATCCTAGAAGAGGCAAGAGTGCAGTTCATATGTGTGACTAATTTACTTACAGATATTGAGGGTCTGCTGCATGTCTCTGATTTTTAGCAAATGTGAATACGTTCAGATAGCAAAGCGAGGATTTGTCCACTGAACAATCGCTGAACCCCTGCTGTACTGCTGGAGATGCTCCAAGTCGTAAGAATATAATACTTCACAAAATGACTGCACCCACTCATTGATGAGCTTATGTTTTTGTGGGAAACAGCATAAATAAAACCCAATCAATCTAAAATAATATCAGGTAAAGATAAGTGCTACAGTGAAGTTTAGTGAAGGAAAAGAAGAAGAATGAAACCATTTTAGATATCAATCAATAAAAATAATTTTAAAGAAATGGCCATTGATTAGAGCCTCATTCCTGGTCATCCATCTGTTCTCTGGATCTACTCTACCTTGTCCTGCTTTGGTCCAGGGAGGTTGATGAGTGAGGACCATATGGGCTGTGAACAGCCTGACCTGTAGACAGTCTGACCTGGCTTCTGGGGAAATCTGAAGGGCAAGGAAGGAAAGCTCAGGGCAGGTTGTTTCTTCTCTCTCCTACCCCCCTTCTGCTACTTTCTGCGATGTCTTTGGCTTTTGTTGGCAGTCCTCTTCTCACAGCTTGTGCTCTCACTGGACTGTAGTAACGCCATCCTCCAACTTGCCCTTCTGAACTGGGGATGCACATGTTTTTCTGCAGTCTCTAGCACCCTGTGCTCTCAACAGCCCTAAACAGAGCTCTGTAAAAGTTCCTCAATAACATCTCTCCATGTGACGGTCTGAGGCGGATCCTGTAGCTCATGTAGAGTGGAAGGAAAATTCAAGGAAACAGTTGAGAGAACATCAATCAGAGAGAACCAGAAAGTCCTTACAAGAGGGTGTGTGTAGTAAGGTCCAAACTGGAGACATTGGGTATTTACTGCATAGACTTTTCTAGCTTTGACTGTATGCTAATTTGCTATGAGCAATAGTGTAAGAAATACTGTGGGGAAGGTAGCCAAGGTCACCTTGTATGTGATCATAAAGGTGTGAACTTTGGTATGAGCCAAGTTTGGAGAGCAGAAGATAAGCTCAGACTCTAAAGCCCCATCTGACCATCAAGAACTGTTTCTGTAGAGCCAAGAGCAAAAGCAAAAAGAAAAGCTATTATGAGTTCATTTAATGGATTCAAATTTTTTTCTATTTTCTGTCTGGGCCTATAGTGTTTATTTCTTATTTGTAGTCAATTGCTGCATCCCTTGCCATATCCAAACCTTGAGTGGTAGCCTCTGTCATTTTCCTGTTTAGTCACATGTTACTGGTAATTCTCAGGCTCTAAACTTCACAGGTACTTATAAAACATAATGGGAGAATGAAAGTTCCGCGTGAAATGAAGTTTGATGAAAACAATAAGGCATCTTAAATTAGTTTCACCCAAAGTTAAATTTCTCATTCTTATGTAGGCATTTTTCTTAAAATGGTAACTCAAGGGGCAACAATTTGTTCCTCATATAAAGAAATTGGAAATATTCCCCTTTTTGGACGATATTAGTAAGCTGCTACACTTAATTATGCCTGAGGGGTTATATTCGGATACAAAGTTTTGAGTAAGATGGACAGAAGTAAGATGTATTTGCAGATGCAGTTAACTGTTGCAGGCCACAGTCCAACAGTCAATGCAACACAGATGCAGCAACAATGGATTCCTGCGCAACAAGTAGCGTGCTACCATCTTCAAAACACTTAGGTCCACACACAAGACTTAGAATTGGGTGAGCAGAGGTTTTGAGTGGTCACCTTTTCCACTCAGCATTAGGCAGGGTCACATTTATGTTTTGAAAGTTTTTAGTGTTAGTGACTTCTAAATAGTGAACCATGCCTCAAAGCTTTCATCTCTCAATTCTAATGTTAAATGGATATTTTGCTATGGTAGAGAACATTTTCTCAGCATCTCTTTGTGCTCGTGTTTTGTCTTGTCATCATGACAAATGACAAATCCTCTTGCAAGATCCTCTTGGGACGGGCTCAAATTATGTCACAAGTCACGATGTCCAATCCTGTCATCATCCTGGAGTTTCTCCCATGGGTTCCTTTTTAAAAGCCTAGCTCAAAATCGTGCCTAAGGTGTTACAAAAGTCAGGGAAGGCAAATAAAGAGGGGCAGAGAAGGGAAGAATTGAGCTTATCCAAGGTTAACAACTAAGGGCCAGGACATAGAGAGGCGCATGCGCAAGGGTCTTGTTGATTACTTCCTCCCTTACAGCCTTCTCCCGGGGAGGATGCTCTTACCACCAGAGGGCTCCAGTCCTTTTATATGTGCAGTAGTTTGGCCATCCACCATCATGGCAAGAAAACCTTTTGATGGCATGAAAACCTTTTGAGGGAAGAGAGCAGGAAGAAACCACATTCCTTGCCTTGTCTCCCACCTGCTGTGTCCCTCACTAGTTACAAAGACACGCCGAGGGTGGGAGGACACTCACGTAGCCCTGCAATCATCCCTAACAAAGAAATACTTAGTTATGGGAAATTTTCTGGGAAGAATATTGAGACTTTATGAGAGACAAATAAAGATTATCACATCTCCATTTTATTCATTAATAGTCACCAGAAGAACTTGGTAATTACACTAATAACAGAAAACTAAAAAGATCTATATACTATAAAGATCTATATAATTTCACACTGGCAATAAAGTGTTACTAAAACAACCACGCCATGCATCCTGTGTGGGAAATCAACAAATACAATTAGCAGTGGGTATTAAATAGGTAGAGAGTGATCTAATGGCAGAGGTAGCTGGAACTGGGAGGGCTGGGCCCGTGTCACAACTGGAATGTCAGCATATATGGAAGCAGGCCCATCTAGAAGGCAGAAAGAGGAGGGGAGGAGTGTGATGTGTCAGAAAGAGTGATAATCTCCCAGAGATGACAGTGAAGAATTTGGTGATGAAATCTGGAAACGGGCTTGCAGAAGAAGAGTAAAAGAAGAAATCCTGCCTGACAATCCCGAGGCATGAGTAATATTAGCTTATATTAATGCTAGTCTCATAATCTCCAGTTTCCCATAGAATTCATTTTATAGATCTAACTGTACATCAGCTAACTCTTGAACTCACACCCCAGAACTGAGATTTGGGATTAGTTGAATCTCAAATCTAAAAATCAGGCCCGGTTAAACTCTGCAATTAGAAGGAAGAGGCTTTGAGTCTCTGGGCTCACAGAGACAATCAGTTCCCAGGGCACCGAATACTTGTTTGTAGTTGTCTGCCATCTTCATTCTCGTATGGCAGGACTAGGCCTGATTATTATTATTTCTTCTTCTCTTTCTCTTTTAAAGCTTGGCACGTGTGCACTTAGAATAGTATCAGGTGCAGAACTGGAAAGAGAGTTCGGTCAGTCAAGTGTTTGCCTTATAAACATTGAAATCTGAGTTCGCAACCCAAACCCATGTGGAAAAAGTCCAGGCACCATAGAATATGCTTGTAATCCCACTGCTGACAAAGGAGATTGTCCAGTGTCCACCCAGGTTAGACTACGGGGTGAGTTTTAGAACAGTAATAATAGTAAAAATAAAAACCCTGTGTCAAAAAGGAAGTGGTAAATGGTACCTGGGGAATGACTCTGAAGGAAATCTATTCTCTCTACTCAGGCACATAAATGTGTATCCCTCTGCCACACCCCAACACAACATCTGATACAAAGCATTTGCCAAATTAAAGCGTGATGCATTGATCTTGAGGTAATATCTAAAACAATGCCTTCTTCCAATTGCTTTAAATTTAATTGATATGCCTTAGGATTACACTTTTTAAATATGAAATATTTATTCTAATTATTGGGTAATTTTATATAG